CTCAATGTCCAGATTGTACGATTGTATTTTCATGGCCCACCTGGCCAGACGACCACTAGGCGTCTTCAGAGTCAAAAGCCACTTTAACGGTTGATGGTCAGTAGCTATCTTAACATGACTTCCTTCTACGTACGAGCGGAATTTATCCAAAGCCCACACAACTGCAAGGGCTTCTCGCTCTGTAGTATGATAATTGCGCTCAGCAGGGGTCAGCAACCTGCTGGCGTACTCTATTGGACGCTCGTCCTTAGGGGTTTCACCCTGCATCAATACGGCGCCTAACGCATATCCACTAGCGTCGGTTCGTAGAGTAAACGGCTCTTCAAAGTTTGGTTGGCGTAGAATTGGGCTAGAGGTTAACCGAAGCTTCAGCTCGTCGAAAGCTCGTTGCTCTCCCTCCCCCCATTGCCAACGTCGGTTCTTCTTTGTCAAGTCCGACAAGGGCCGCGCTATATCTGAAAACTGCGGAATAAACTTGCGGAACCACGCGCAAGTTTGCAAGAATGTCCTCAACCCTTTCAGGTTCGTCGGAGGCTTCATTTTCATAACTGCTTCAACCTTCGCGGGATTAAGCCTGTATGGCGGGCTAGCAATTGGCGCGGCATCTCCAGTATCGATTCGGTGAACAGCAAATTGAGTAGGTCCTCCCCCCGGAGTAAAAATGTCCTCGTAGACATTCAGGAGGTCAGATAATTGCTGTCGTTCATCTGAAACCAGATGGGTACCTTCGTCACTGCGAAGACCCACAGACGAACAATGAAGTGGTTTAAAACAGCGAGTTTCAAAAATGATAGGTTGAGGAGTCCTATCATGTCTCACAGACCACGTACCGAGATCAAAGTCGAGTAACACGCCAAACTCCTGAATAAAATTCATCCCTAATAAACTTTCAGTCGCGTCGGGAAGCATAATAAAATCAACAACTCGCGGTACCCCTCAAACTGTTACGCTCACGTGTGCTAATTCAACAATTTGCGCACACATGTGTCCGTCAGCAAACTTAAGTTCTACATATACATTTTCAAATTGATGACCATACTTGATTAAGTGAGCTCTTAAGCTAACACTACCTATAGAGTGCTTAGCACCTGTGTCCACAAGCACGGTACCTATTTCACCATTAATTTCTATTTTTAACACGGGACGCACTCGCGAATCTATTTTATCACACGCGGATACTGATTGGAACGAACTCGATACGGTTTCTACCGGTTTCTTCTCTTTACATGTCGGGCAGTTCGAACGTATACGCCCTGGCGCACCGCACCCGAAGCACGTAACTGTCGGTTCTTTCCTCTCTGTTACGCCCTCTTTGGCTTCAAAAGACTTTCCCGCCAATTTCCGACATGCCTCCTTGAGATGTCCATAGCGCTTACAGTAAGCACACTGCGGTCGCCTACTAGGTACTGACGACGGCGTAATCGATGACTGAGCACTGCTCGATGGTAACATGGATATTGCCGGTTTGACGTCTACCGTTGTATTCGATGGGCGAGACTCATTAAGGATGTCTTCTACACGTCTCGCTTGCGCTATTAATTCTACAAACGAAGTAAGACTAGAACGAGGTACCTTTTCGCGTATTCTTTTGTTTAACAAGCCATACGTCATGTCTAATTGTACTTCTTCCGTGAGAGAACGTTGCGGAAGTTGCGCGAACAATGCTCTGATGTGACAGACGAATAAATCTGTAGTCTCGTTAATCCGCTGTTCGCGTTCATAAATAATTCTAAAGATTCTGTGCGCGGGCAGCCTAGGCCCGAAGGTCTGCTTTAGAGATTCTAATGCGTCTTGCCATGTCGGGGTGCTGTCTTTGACGCCTTGCCACCAAGTAGCGGCTATCCCCGTCAATAACATGGGCAAACCTCGCAGCGCGACATCGTCGCTCATATTTACGCATGATTTGTATACTTCGACAGCATCGATGAAAGCTAATACGTCGCTTGTTTTGTGTCCATCGAACCGCGTAGAGCACTTCGCAAAGTTGCCGGAAATATGTGTAGGAGTACTTACAGGAGCTGCTTGACTTAGCCTGTTTATCAATAGCATTAGCTGCTCTGTGGTCATGGTGATCGAAGCCTCAGCGGCAGTTGCAGCTGGCGGCGGCGGTAGGGCGTGACCCTGACCCGCAACAACGGCATCACTGTGCCCCGAGGTAGTCGTTGGCGGCGCCGGCGCGGCCTGCAGGTCGCGCGGCGTCGACTCCGGCGCGCCATCTACCGGGAACAACGGCGGCGCCACGCCCGCAGGCGAAACACCGGCCGCGGCAGACGCGGGACTCGCAGCACGTGATCGCGTTAACACCATAATGACACAGTAAAACACAGGTCACAGTTCTTGAACAAAAAGTACTTTAACCTAACTCAAACTTAGTCGGTCGGCACACTCGTAAGTATACAAAATAGTTCAAACAAAATATTTTTTTTCTTTTTGAGTTAACCGCGTCCATAAAACTAAAGACTATAGACTGACACTAGAAGTAAGTTATTAAACAATAATTGTCACTGGTTTTCACAAAAAAATGTTCTTACGACGAATGACGCAACAATGTAAATGATTACGTAATAATTAACGTGCGCGGATGCCGTAATAGTCGTTTACACACACGACTAAACACGAAAATACGACGATCCGATAATGTAACCTAGGTACAGGTACAGTACACCCGAAACAAAACCTAGCAACAGTTACTACGCACGTCGAGACATGTCTCGACAAGTCCACTGCAATACACGAGCACAGTTAGTAACAACATTTAAACTGAACTGTTTTTTTTTATTAAAGCTCCACGTTGGGTTGCCACTTATAGTGAAAGACCGTTTGGAAGATAAGACTTTTAATTAATTGAATAATATTACAGTGTAGTACGTAATCAATACATCGTTGTTAGGACAGCGGCGGCGTCCCGGCAGTCGTGCGCGTACGCGTGTTTACAAAGTCAAGGCTCGCGGCTAACTAAGGGAACGAGGGAACTACGGCGGGCGCGCAGCCGGGCGGAATGCCGGGACGGAGGCGGGGCGCGAACAGTTCGTGAGGTGGCGTGATGTCGACGCGGTGCTATAATATATTATATATACATAGTACATGTTTTACCCGCGACTTCTTGCACGCAAAATAAACATAACTTACTAAGTAGCCAGTGTTTATAATCAAGATCCATGAAGCCGTTTTGGAGATACCTTGTAACCAACAACCATCCATCCATCTATACATTCGCATTTATAAAAGCAAGATTGTTGGGTTCATTAAGGAATTAAGAACTCTACAGTAAAACCTCTTTGATTTAAAAAGTTTGGATCCTTACGTAATCCAGTTCTATTATTGTTTACTGCACACTCTATCTCTTGTCATAAAGAGAGTAAGAGAGATAACAGTATGTTACTCGGTTACAATTTCCAGATAAAGCGCCTACCCCTCAAGCACCACAGACACATATTTTAAAATGGTTGAATGAAGACAAGGCAGGTGCAGTGGGATACTGTCTGAGTTTTGATGACAGTGCTGCGACGTGCCCTGCGTACGTCGGCGGGAAAGGAGCCTCCTTAGCACTATTAGCTTCTGTGCAGCACGACGAGGTACAATGTCTTTAGTATAATTTCTCTAGGAATACTGAGGTTCTTTACGTATATTTTATAAAATTCATTGAAACATTGAAGATATCTGTAGAAAATTTAAAGGTAGCCAAAAACAATACATGCCGGCATAACTCATCTTAGGTACCAATTTTTTATACCGGTACTTTTGATAGGGTCTTTGCCGTTGGACCGATCGGCCAGTCAACGGATACATTTCCAATTGGTCTTTGGGGTCTTATAGATTCCATCGGTAGGCCGATCGACTCGACGGTAAACAAGCCTTCATTGTAAAAGGTTTTTCTCTGTAGTTAGTTAAAATTGTAAAAGTTACGTTAATAAATGTAATATTTCTAGGGTTACAAAGTGCCGCCTGGTTTCTGTTTAACCACAAAGGCGTTGGAAAGGCAACTTGAAGTTTACCCGGAGTTAGTTCTGGCTATAAAAGGCATCGAGGCTGCTAATGAAGACTATGATGAAAACATTTTTAAACAAAAATGTGAGACGTGAGTTCAACGATCGTTTTGATAAAAATAGGAAAATCAATTAAGTAAGGCAATTGAAATCAGGGTCGCCGTTAGGGTAGGACGCTTGGGCGACCGACTAAGGCGCTTGACAGAGACATAGGCCTGCGAATTACATTCTTCCAGATATGGTAAAAAAAAGAGGGCGCCGTAGAAATTTCGCCCAGGGCACTAGTAGAGCTAAAATCGAAATGGTCTCTAAAAATTTACATCAAACTTTCAGAGCCGTGGAGTTATTTATGAAAACTGATATATCAGAAGATATCAAAGAAGAAGTATTGAAGCACTTGAATGATTTAAGGATAAAAATTAAGGAACAGAATTTAAGTATAGAAGAACGCTTTGCAGTGAGATCATCAGGTAATAAGTTTCTTTAATTCAAGTAGGTAGTGATTTAAGAGTAAGTTAGGTCATTTTTGACGTCTTTAATATCACTTTTGTCACCTTAACAAAATATCGAATAAGTGCAATTAAATAAGTAAATGACAAAGGTCAGTTTTCACAAGTTGGTGGTGGGTTCAGGTGTGGGAGAGGACAGCGAGGCGACGTCTGCAGCTGGACAGAACGAGACGGTGCTGGGCTGTGTGGGCGAGGCGGAGGTGCTGCGCGCGGTGCGGCGCTGCTGGGCCTCCATGTTCGCCTTTAACAGCGCTTATTATCGCCGGTAATTTATTAACTAATAATAATAAAAAAGGAATAAGCTATAAATAAATATTTAATTTGAACTACATAGTTACATAAATGGAAAGAAAGTTAAAAAGTATGTTCATTGATTTAAATTAACGATAATATAGAAAACATAGAGTTGCTACACTTCTGTATGATTTAGTAAAAAAAATATAACACTAAGAGATTTGAAAAATCCATAAACTTCTCTGAGTATCAGTGTTGTTATGTATACGCAGACAAAACGGTCAACCGTGTTCGTGCGGAGGCGGGGTTGTGGTACAGGCATTAGTGCGAGCGCGCGCTGCTGGTGTGTTGTTCACACGACACCCTCTCGGTGACCCTTCAACACTTCTCATCACTGCTAACTACGGCCTTGGAGAGGTATATACAAATATTTAGCCTCATTTCTATGTCCAACAAATAAACAAAATTTAACCAAAACATGTTGGCAGGGCCGTTTGTAGCTTTTTCGGCGCCCTGGTTGAGATTTTTGTGGCGTTTCCTTTTTTATATCGAGGGAAATCTTCCAAAGATAAAGTATTTTAAAACCGCAGGCTTTAAACCGCAGTCCTATTGCCCTGGGTGATCGCCCCACCTGGCCCTACCCTAACGCCGATATTGCGTGTTGGTGTCCTTACTTAGGTAATCTTAAACGTAAATACTTAAACAGAGTTAAGATAAGTAAAACTAGCAACAAGTATTTTGATCACATCAAAAGTGTCTAATTCTTAAGTATTATTTTACAACTTATTTTTTTAATCTTTTAGAGTGTGGTATCTGGTTCAGTTGAACCTGATTCAATAATAGTAAAGCGTGAAACAAACGAACTAAGGATAGCTAAAATCGATCTGGGATCGAAGAAAGAACGAGTAAAACCCGATGGCGATGGTGTGACTGTAGAAATGGTGTCCGAAGAAGAGCGCAAAGTACCTTGCCTGACTGTTTCGGAGATATTAAAGCTGGCAAAAATAGGCGTCTCACAAGAAGAATTGTGGGGTGCCGGTAGAGATATTGAATGGGCTATTTGCGATGTAAGTATACTTAATATATGTTGTATCGAATCTAGGAAAAATGAGATAATCAATGGACTTTTTAAATTAAGGATATTAAAATTTGAACTGTTATCAAAATCTTTCATTAATTTTAGAATATAAGGAAGAAAAACAGCTTATAATGTTAAATGATTACTTCTATATTAAGGAACATCAAACGTTAGAAATACGTTTCCATATTTTATATAAAGAATAGAATCAGAAGCAGAGAAGATGATGTACTGGTATTTTGTTTATTAAACGCTTTTAAGTTTTATTTTATGATATCTTCTAGGATGTCATATATTTGTTACAAGCACGTCCCATCACGTCGTCAGAGCGCTGGACAGAGGAGGAACTCTTGCACGAACTGGATTTTCCCATCATGTCGGACGACGAGTTACTCACATTCGCTAACACAGGAGAGGTAGTCTTCATTCAGATCATTTAATCAATCAAGTAATTCCTTAGTTCTGTTAGGAAGAAAATCCGACACTGTGCCGGTGTACTGGCCCAACATTAGCCTTATTTAAATGTCGACGTTTATATCCCCCCCTACTAATCATTCTGACAGTCGACTTTGTAATGTAAGCGCATTCAGGACAAAGGATTCTCACTAACAATGACAAAAAGTCCTTAGTATTAGTAAAACGTTTTTTGTTTAATTTTTAATAAATTTTGGTGACCAAAAGTGAAGCCTACCAAATCATCTGGTCGTGTCTTTTGTGTGTTATTTTATATATTCTGTCATATCTACCCACAATAACAGAGTCAATGTCAATTTGTCTTTCTGCAGGTACTTCCAAAACCTATAACACCTATGACTTACGACCTGGTGGTGACGCCTCTGCAAAAAGGTATCGACAGTGTGATCGGATGCAATGGTGACCACTACGACCGCAGTGTCGCTGTATCACACAACAGATGTGCCCTTGTTCTTTACAACGTAAGTTGAATTTTTCTCTGCCAAGTTTTAAACATAGATTTTCACAGCTCTCCTGACAAAAATGCAACAGAAACGTGTAAACGAGGTTAAAAAAATATATTGTATGATTTTCTCGCATTTAAATTATTCATATGCATATGACGGCATGAGCGTCGGTGACTCAGTGGTCAAGCACTTGGCTTGCAATCAGCAGGTCCTGGGTTCGAATCCCGCCATGTACCAATATGTTTTTCGATTTCCGATTTACATATGTACATCCGACGTTGTTACGGTGAAGAAAAACATCGTGATGCAACCTGCACATATCTGAGAAGAAATTCAAAGAGATGTGTTTAGTCAACCAACCCGCACTTGACCAGCGTGGTTGACTATGACCTAATCACCCTTACTTAGGGTACTTAGGGTAGGCTCCGAGCCCCCCGAGACGTATAGTGAGCTGATGATGATGATGGTGATGATATGACGGCATTCGTAAAAAACTTCTGTATTTACGACGTATGTAGGATGCAATCCATCAATCAAAATAGGCTACTCTGAGTGTCGGTTGGACACTTGCATCCCTGAGGGTAAATATAAAGTAAGTATAATTTAGTAAAGTAGGTACAATTTATATTCCAGTCGGTATACCGTCGTATGCCGCCTCAGATAGACATCGGTATACGTATGATAGAGATGGCGGTGCACGGACACAAGGTCGCTGATGACAACATCGTCAGTACTGCGCTGCACAGGCGCCGGCCGCACTTCCTAGACAGAGCCCTCACTATAGCATCTATGATTAAGGTACCATATTCCTATACATGCATCTAAATTAGCTTACCGTATATAGTAAATAAGTTTAAAGACTAAAAGATAGAGATATTAAAAGAAGTGTGCAAAATTCTGACAGTAGGTGATTAAGTGTATAAGTTTAGCTATACAGATTTTTTTTATGGAGTACTAAAAAAAGAAGACGGATTGATGTCTGTCATTTGAAATCTTTATGGATTTATTTATTTATGTTACAGTCAGTAATCTTGACGAAGTCGAAAATGAATGATACGATCAAACGAGTGAATAAAATGAACTTGGAGATGGAAACGAGTGATCCTCTGGAGTACTTGAACAGGCTGGTGTCAAGTCTGCCGGAGAAGATGCAGGGGTACAGCTCCAACCACAGCCACACCAGTTCGGCAAGCACCTTCACACAGTTCATCGCAATGAGTATACTGCTGGAGGGGAAGGAAGGTCACTTTCATAAATTACTTACAATTAATTTTAGAGATAATTTTTTAAAACATATTGTTAATAAGGTACAAGGATTCAGAGCTTTTTATGATATACATATACTAGCGGACCCGACAGACGTTGTCTGACCATTTGACACTGCGATGGTAGCGCCGTCTGTCGGATCCAATGTAAAACATTCCAAAATCAACAACTACTAATAAATTAAAAATTAATTAAAAAAACATTGTGAATCTAAACCATTCCCAGATCCCCTTGAACACACTCAAAAAATTTCATCAAAATCGGTCCAGTCGTTTGAGAGAAGTTCAGTGACATACACACTCACAGAAGTATTATATATATAAAGATTGAATACTTTTTCCTTTATTCGTCTACTAATAGAGAAATAGATACGCTGGAAGTAAAATTTTAGTCACTATGAATGTGAAAAATATTTCCCTTCATTATTGAATATGTTCTTCCTCAAATCAACCTTGAGTATAACCGTACTGACTAACCGTATTAATACTAAATGAACATTTATTAAATATTTTTTATGTAGATTTCACACCAGAGCACTGCAGTGAAATAGGCCTCCTGCTCAGTTCTGGTGATGTGCTGTCAGCCGAGGTACCTCTCGCTCTGGCTGATATTACAAGGAAGCTGGAAGAGTCCGGAAAAGCTGAGGAATTCCGTGTTCTGGAACCTAGAGACGCTATGACGTGGCTGCGAAAAAAACTTCCTCACGTGCACATGGATATATGCCAGTTCCTAGAGCAACATGGCCACAGAGCTATTATGGAGGTAAGTCGTAGAATTGAAATAGTCCCAAATAATTTTTGGATTTAGTTAAGTTAGGAATAATTATAATATTTTCAGTTCGATTTAGCGACAAAACCATGGGCACTTGTACCAGAGGAATTCATAAAAGTGCTACAAACTATGCCAATGACCAAAGATGAAAATAAAATAACCAAAAGTAATGCCGAAATTATTGCATCTCTAAAGACACCTCAGAAACCCAGCACACGGTATTATATAATAATTTTTTAATTTTAACTTTTAAATGCATGTATTATAATATGAGATACTTTATTATATACAACTTGATAACAATAGTTTTAGAAATTCACCTTAATATTGTTGTTACTCTTTTGATTTACAGAAAAGCACTTCGTTGGATCCTACCTTTATGTCATCGTTCAGTTCGTCACCGCGAAGGAACGAAGGCGCATTTGATCCTCGCGATACACAAACTGAGAATGTCGATACTAAAACTGGCGAAACTATTGGTACGTCAGTGGTACTTGCCTCATCCTGATCTTATATTCTTCTTCAGACTAAATGAACTCCGAGCTTATATAGTGAAGAGAAATCCAGCCTTATTGAGGAAGTAAGTATATTTTTTCTTATACGTATGTAGAAAATTTTAAAGTGCAATAAAACCGGTAAGGATGAAACTTGGAAAAAAAAATATTTTAGTCAACATTTCTTAATAGACAAAAGTGTAGGAATTATTGCTATTTTTTTTCTTAAAATATCGCATACGATATGCGTTTACGTCAATTACAGAAACAAAATGCAAAAGATGACTTCTCTAATAGCTGAGTCAGTCGATTGTAAATATATTTTTTTAAAGAATGAGAGATGACATGATTGGTAACCAGGGCTATACAGCGTCAACAATTGTACCCCGGCTGGTGTAAGCTCAAGTTCGCGGAGGTGAACACTGGCTGGTTTGACCCCGTGCCCACCGCCGGGCCTGCGGTCACTGCCGGTGACGTCACGATACAGGCGACCTCTGTCTGCGGCGGGGAAGTCGTGGGCAGGGCTTGCGTTGTCAAAGATCTCTCAGAGGTATTACTATCATAGATATATATTCTTTGTGTTAAATTGGATATATTTGGAAATTAAAATGCTTTTATTCTAGTACTTGCCATTTTTGTGTGTATTTTATAATTAATAAAATTATATGTTATATTGAAACAGATAAGAGAGTTGCAGTCAGGAGACATATTGATAACAGACTCCACGGATATCGGATGGTCACCATACTTCCCGCTGCTGAGCGGCATCGTCACAGAACTAGGCGGTCTTATATCCCACGGTAAGACTTGAGGTTTATCTATTTATACAAAATAATGTACACATATTCATTTATCATGTTTTTCTCAGGAGCGGTGATAGCTCGTGAGTACGGTCTGCCGTGTATAGTGGGCGCCACAAATGCCACGAGCGCCTTCGTTACCGGCGACACAGTGCGGCTCTGTGCTACAACAGGCACCGTGCAGAGAGTGCATCTGCACACTGCTCAAACTGTAGCTGATTAATTGTTTTGTATGAAGCAATTGAATAAATGTGATTGAACTGTTCTTTGCTTATTATTTGCGAATGATGAAATTAAATTAAGGAATATTAAAATATAAAATAAAACTGGTATAAATTTTTTAAATGTCTAAAATAAAATAAGTCACAGCAGTATCAAAAACAATAAAAAAAAATCTAAAAGCAAAAAAATTACAAAGTTGCAATAATAAAAGTAAAAAATAAGAGGATAAAAATTCTTTCAAAGTTCTAGCACCTAATAAAATAAAAATTCAAATCGAAAAGAATCGAACGTCAAAACACAATTTCACATCACACCAAAGTATTTATAAAAAATAATTACCTGCTCAAAATTCAAGAGCGGATCTACAACAATTTTCCGACCGACAAATTTATCAAGACCATTTATACATCAAGTGGTGACATCCAAGAGAAGCAGTTCATAGCAATCAAAGGCGACTGGGCGGCTGAACATGACGACGTGGCAGCGATAGCGCGGCGGAGCCACCGCGCCCAGTAGGTAGGAAGCGCGGTACCGCACGCGGCCCACGTACACCGCGCCCACGCGCACCGCCCGCTCCGGCAATGTGCCCGCGCGCCACGCCAGCCACACCACTGACGCGTTGCACAACACCTACACATATAAAGTGGTAACAGTTCAACATCGCCCTAATCAAGACACACTGCGATACTCAGAGATAAATAGTCACTTAAGCTAACCCTAGATTAAAGATTTTTCCTCCAAGAGGGCTCCTTCAATGAGCGTGTATCAACTCAAAATGACATACGTCAATTCAAATGTGAATGCAGTGTATTTCGGACTGTCGATGACTTATATGCAGTAAACACATAACGCATATTCTCACCTGATATTTTGTATAGTGATATATCCGGCCTCCAGAGTATAGGACGCAACAATGCATAGAAGGACAAAGGGCCGCTGGCAGAATTTTACAACTGAAACAAACACCATGTTTATTATCTATATGTCGAAATTTAGTAGATTAAACAAGGACAAATTATCTATATTCTATATTGTTGTAGAAAATCTACGGTATAAACATGTTTCCACATCATGGATAAAACATACTTATGTGTAGTACGCGCGACAAAGGTATCCTCGCCGTCGCAGACGCCAGCGGAGACCGCGGCGCTGGGCACTGCGCCGCACGCGCTGATCACCCACACCGGCCCCGGCTGCTGCCATCCCGGAACCCACTCTGCAACACATTAAAATCAATACAAACGTAATTATAAAGATAATAACAACAAAATTACTGCGTTGAAATGTACGTTAATTGCAGGAACATTCTGCTTCGTTTCGTTTTTAATCGAATTCATCTGTAACCGTGGATATTGAATGTTTGATAACACAAAGAAAACGTGGATAATGATAACCTGATAATTGTCTCTTGAATTTCGATTCCCAAGGGCTACAAAGACGTTCGTTGCATTGTTCCCACTCTTTCAAATGTTCTTTAACTCTTTCTTTCAGTATTCGCCATCGTCTAGCAAAAACAATTATAAGTTTAAATAAATTTCATAACCCAAATACTGCCGGTGACAGATTTCATACAGGAAATATTTATCTTAACTTACTCGGATGATGAATCTTTAAATTGTCGAAGCAAGTCCGTCTCTTTTATCTGTTATAGAAAAGGAATTTTGTAAAATAAGTTATAAGCCATTAAAATTATTTAATAAAGAAAAAAAAACTTACAGCATCAGTCAACCAATGTGTCCATCTGTTAAACATTTCAATAAGATCTAACATTTCATTGTGAGTGTCGATAAAATTTCTTGTTTTCACTGTAGTTCTTGTCGGTGATACAATCTGACGAAGTAAGTAATTTTAAAACATACTTTTATTGCGGGCGCTACAAGCGTTTTATTAGCAAGAGAAGACGTAGAACAGGCGCGTTTGCCGCAAAAAGATTCTAAGGGGAATTAAGATACCATTAAAAAAAACAAAAGAATATTGGATTCGTAATTTAATATAAATAATTATTTTAATTACCTTTTTGTTTTTGTACTTTGAAGCAATACGTATAATTAGTTGTCGACTAAAAGACTTATATTGAGTCCATTGTAAAATTTCAGTTGTTGTAGTTCTTTGAAAATTGATCCAAGTTTTATCCAATTCTAAATCTATGATGAAACACAACATTGAGAAAAGACATGAATATGTAACTTATAAACGAAGTGTTTGAAGGTTATCTTACCACTGTTTTCTTGAAAAGTTAAAATTTTCTTAATACTATTATGGATCCAAGTCTTCCAGGCTTGTACGTTCCACATAATGCTGACCATCATAGAGTGCCAGTCGGTCATTTGATCCGTCGTAACAATCGGAGTCCCTGCACAAAACATTTCATGTCAAATGACATGAATAAAGTGAACATCGCTCATCTCAAAAATAGAGGACGGAGCACAATTGAATATTTATAATAATTTCTACTTACGTGAACTATAAATATTCCTAGTCTGGGTCGTCCATGAACTTTGAGGCTGGACCTTAGGTCTTCCAGTCACACTTGAATTCGTTTCTCGAGCAACTATCACCGTTGGTGTAGACCCAAACATATGCAGTGATCTAAAGTTGGGCAATGTTTTCTTTTCAAAAGGTAATAGCGGCGGAAAAGGCTGCTGGCTGTCAACGTATAGTACATCTTTGCCCGAAGAGTTATAATTAGTGGAAAAGGCATCGCTTCCGGGGGTTACTATTGTCATTTCTTCGGAGCATTCTGATGCGGAGAGTTTCGTCGGGATATTGTCGAAAGGTCCGCCAGGCGAGGGGTATAAGACATAGCCCGCTGTGATGTTTGACCCGCAGCCGGGCGAAGGTTTAGAGACGGGACATGTTTGTGAGGACTTGGCGTGTTTTAGTGGACACTGTCTGATAGATATCTCGACTCCGGAGCCACAGATGCGCGGGCCGCAGGGGCCCAACTGCATGGCGCGCCCTGGACACACGTCTGACACGTCCTGGATTGCCACGTGGCGGGATCTTCTGGAACAAACTCGGCCGATTCTTCGCAAGCTTCCTTCGCACCATAACTCGCATTGGACGATGACATTCTTCATGCATTTGCAAACTTGAATTATCTCTGTAAGAATAATGAGAATAAAAATATTAATATTAACAAAGTATAAACCTTAGGAAAGTATATCGAGAAATGGAAAGACGATGCACCTGGTTGCAAGAAGTAAACGGCGAGATAATTTGTGACGTCATCAACTACATCTGAAAAACAAAAATGAATGATTAAAGTAAAGAGTTTAATTTAATAAAGTATATTAAGAACCACTATGCTCACCATCAATGAGATCCTTGTACTTATTTGTTGCAAAGCTTTTGTTTGCTAATGTTTTTAATTTTATTTGTATTTTTCTGGACACAACAGGATCTACATTTGTAACGCTTAATTGATCAGCTGTCTTTGTCCGTAAACTGTAATAGATACAATAATATGGTAAAACAGAAAAAAAATAAACGAAAAACGATGGTATTTAACATAAACATGTTTATACAAACAGGTTTGCGCCGTCGAGATGTGTTTTCCGCAGTGTGCCGTGACGCAAAAGAACAGCGTCTTTTTCTTTATCCATTTGTTCTACTAATATTTTTAAAGCTTCCGACTTTTCCTCTGTAAAATATAAACAAAAATTGTTAAATTGTTTTCACTTTTATTGTTTTCGTTTACATTTATTATTATGTATATCATAACCTACCTTGCAGCTTGACGTAGGATGTAAGAAGTCCAGCATTACGCTGGATAACATCTGAAATAAGACACCAAATCAATATTTATCTACAAAATTGTTTACGCAAGAGTAAGATTATTACATACTGTTAAGATCTGTTTTGTCGTAACCAGACGGCGTAACATCTTCCATGACCTTCTTGAGCTTGTTCTCTATAGACGACTGCAGGGTCGCGTCTGGTCTTTTTATTTCATCCTCGAAAGTCGTCAGTTTACGCCAACTAAAGTTTCCAAGTACTTATAGAGGATGATGTAAAATTATTTCTATTACCAAAGAGGCTATTCAATTCATCTTTACTCACTATGCTACAGCTTCGGCGTGTGTTTTATGTATTTTTCCTTCGACGAGCGGAGTGTCACCAGCCACTTCTGCTTCAGTCAGAAGCGCGATGTACGCTTCGATTTCCTTATCTAACGTGTTAATGTTTTCATGTTAGTAGTTCAAGGTTCTTCATAACGTAGTATTATACCACCAAAACACACATTTACATCTCTCTCAACAGAGATAAAAATATGTATTTGTACATGTGTTTTGGCAGTGGAAACTCCACGGACAAATTTGGATAAAAATTTACCTGGTATAGTTACATGTTCTGACAAATATCCGGTTGTCGTCTGAACATATTCTGTAACAAAGAACATTTTATAAAGGATTTTAATAAACAAGTTCTACAATCATATCTGATTTTAGAGCACTAAATATTTTAATAAATATAAGTCATAGAAACAGGAATACCTTTTATATACGGGGCCACTTTCCGTGGTGTGCCCCGGCCTTTGATCATTTCTCCTAATTTCTGTGACAACTGTTCTTGAATCATTTCACGAGGAGCGTTCGCTTCAATGTTCTTATTTTTCTTCAACCTTAACATTTAGTCAAAGATGTTAGATTACCTACATGTACGTATGAAATTACATTATAAAAAACAATCTTTATACGAAATAATTAAAGATTGTCTGCACGTTCATAATGTAAGAATCAAAAGTACTTGTTTTTTTGTTTGTTATATTGCATTAGAGTAAAGGTTGCACCTCTGAGCCGAGTAGAAATAAGATTCGGTGTCTTCCTTCACTTCTGCTAGAATTTCATTACCACGATTCTGCATCTCAGAAATGACAGCCTCCCGCGCGAGTACCTTGTAACCTTCAAACATTACGTTTATTCTGAAATGATTGAGCAAAAACCACGTAAAATACAGTTCAAGATTAGCCGAGCATACTTACTTTTAGACATGAATTTTTCGGAGAGATTCCTTGAAGACTCAATAATAACATCTGGAATAAATTGAACAATTGAAATTGCATTATTTTAATAATTATGTAATTTACGTTACATAGTCAATAATCCCAAAATCCCCGCTTCGCCTCCCCTACTATGAGGGACTTGAGCCGAACGCTAGGCTTGCTACGCAGTTGTATTAGTCTTGCTACTATTAGATACTTACTAAGATAGAAATATAATGCTGGATACTTCAAGGTCTACCAAGAAAAGTATATTTTGACTTGTCGTGTTTTAAAACTCCAGAGTCAATCTAGGGACGAAGTATTAGAAGTCATAGTGTTATTGCGTAACCTTGCATGGAATCTTTGAGTTGCGGCGGCGTGTCGGTGGCGACGAGCGCACTCAATTTCCTCTCAAATTTCTTCTGCAATCGGCCCGTGTCTGAAGACTCCTTCACCGACCTGTCCGCAGTCAGCGGTGGCTCTGATATCCTGCACAAATGGGAATTTTTTCTTCAAAAATATACCGAACATTTTTGGACGTAACATTTTACAAATATTTAGATTCGTTTTTCTTATGTTTAAGCTGTAAGCGTTGTAAACGTTAAAAATTAACAATAAAGAAATAAACAAGATAATAATAATAGCTGTCTCCCAACACTGGAATTATCTGTAGTAACGGTTTTTTTTTCAAATAAGAACGCTATAACGGTTTCATACTTGACATTCATCAATTCAATCAATACTATCACTTGTATAAATGGAGATGTATAAAAATGTGGTACCAGTCGGCTGCCATCGCATGGGATAGTTCGTTATGAGGTTGCTTGTAAAAAATTTCACCGCCTCGAGCCTTGAGCTTCTGTTGAAGTATTTGTACGGCTTGTTCGTGGTCCATGTCGACATCTACAGTAGGAATTGAGTTATATTTTGATAAAATATCAGGCAATTTGAAGCCCAAATATCTAATAGAATCTAATTTTATCTAATAGTTATTAAAGTTTCAACTAAATAGTTTTAAAATATCTTGCGAAGTAATTTTATTGAGTAATAAATGTCTTTTTTATGTTGTTTTTAAAACAAAATAAAACAAAAAAAATAAAGGGGATAATAGTATAATAACAGAAAATTAAGTAGATACAAACCTGTTGCTTTTGTTTGTTTTTGGGGTTTTTTTGGTTCTTCTTTTTTCTGAAAACTTCGTATTTGTATCGGCTGTTGCGGTTCAGGTGGTCCTTGCGGTTGAGGTTGCGGTTGCGGTGGTGGTTGCGGTTGCGGTGGTGGTTGCGGTTGCGGTTGTTGTTGCGGTTTTTGTTGCTGTTGTTGTTGTTGCTGCGCTTGTAGTTGTTCTTGCGATTGTATTTTGGGTGGCGATGGTAGCCGCGGTTGCGAAGGTAGTCGGGGTTGTGACGGCAGCTTTGATTGTAGACTGCTACTTCTCCGACGTTTATCTGCCTCGCTTCCTCTTCAAGAAATCAAATAATAAATTAATTAAAACGATAAACCATTTAATAAATAATGAATACTTTTGATTACGTGCTAAATACGGTGGTGAATATATTTTAAAAATTAATTCAGAGAGCCTAGCATGAATATTGGCAAGTATTCGTAACGTCATTGACAAAATTTGTATTACATTTTTACAGCAAGAAATCTCATATTAATATTAACAAAATCTTTTCAATGACTACAATAATGCATTTCGTAAATATTAGCGATACATCCTCAGTATTAAAAGATTCCTGAATAAAAAAGCTTCAAATCTTTGCAAAATAAATAAAGATATTTAAACATTACTTACTCCCATTCCTCAAGGGCCTTAGGGTCCAGACCGCCTGCAGAAGCAAAGAACTAATAACTTCATCAAATAACAAACCAAAATTATTAATTTATACGCATTTAATATTATTACGAATACTTACATTCTTTTGTAGCGACACCAGCGATGTATTTTGAAACGGTATCCACTGCGTCTGGAATTAAAATTACAAGTAGTCAAATAATATTGTATTTTTTCAAGTTATTCAATTACTAAAATACTGTAATAACAAACACATTGTCTAGTCATTACACTTACTGGATGACGTAGGAGAATCTAACTTTAATTTTGCTGTACTAAAATGTTATATTTTGGAAAGAAATCATTCAAAGATTTGGGATCAGCCCAAGACGTTTCTGCTAACATTTGCTAGTAGGAGAGAGATCAATGGCAAATTAATTGCTGTCTCTGTCTATCCAAATTATAATAAAACATTGTAACAAATACCTGGAACGTGTGGCTTGGCTTGTTCGCTAACGCCTTTCATAGGCAGTTCGTTAATACGATCGGTAACTTTTCTATGAATTTTCGGTGCAAAATTGGATGTGCTAAAATTTGACGCTTTGTCTATCCTGTTAATATATAGATGTTTGATTTGAATTAATGTTATCAGGAAACAGGAGTATAAAATTAATTAAAATAAAAACAAATCAAAATGTTATAACTATTCAAAATTGAACTTTTGGTCTATTTTCTAGAATACCATACTCCATAAAACATTAATGACCAACAATTTATATATTTAACTAGCTGTCGCCCGCGACTAAAAAATAAGTAGTAGCAGATTTTCAGACCTACCGAATATGAATATAAAATTTAATACATAAAAATCGGTCAAGCCATTTCGGAGAAGTATGGTAATGGTAACACGAGAATTTTATATATGTATAAGATTACATTTCCGCAGCTTCGTCGTGTGTCTTGTTAAATTTTCCAACGGATAAGAAAGGTTTTTTCGCTTCAGTTCTCATATCATCGTGTATTATCCTTATTATTTCTCCTACAAAATAAAAGTTTTTAAACGTAATCTAAAATTAAAAACCCATTCATTCTTCAGCTACAAAGAAACTCTAGAATAAGGGAAATTTTTTGCTGGAAAAGTGGTACGGAACTGCTACGCTGATGTATAGATGTAAGCATATTTACCTCTCCCTTTTACAATATTTGTTAAGTTACTCGCAGCATCGGATACAGTATCTGAAATGAAATAATGCACATCAATAAAACTTTCGCTTGAAAAAACGACGAAAACATAAGGCGAATGGCTGCACATTTCATCCCTTCTCCTATAAGAAAAGAAATAAATTACTAACCTTTTAATATACTTTGCAAACCCTTCTGGGTTACAACCCCTCCTATTTTTTGTTGCAAATCAGTTTTAAGTCGTGGATCCACCGGCTTTGCCGGTACAGCTGGAGCCTCTAAAAGTCTGGAGATAAAATATTTCATTTTATTATCATCCTGTAGATAGAAGATAAGTGTTATACAAAACTTACTCTTGTCCGCCTTCTTTGAATGTAATTTTGTAAGCTTTTTCTTGCGCTAACACTTCATCTTGTTTTCTACTCATCAAATCGGCTAAGAAACGTCTTTTATCCTGTTCATCTGTACGTAAAATTTAAGTTATTTCAATTTATTATAAGAAATCAGAGGGCATAGCACGAATATTTGTGACATACTCCTTCGTAACATCAACGACAAAATGTGTCACAATTTATATTAAATTTTGTCGATGACGTTACTTAAACACTCTCACTGATATTCGTATTAGACCCTCTGTACTTAACTAGTTAGCAGTTTACTAACTAATTTACCTTCAATTGGTGCGGTTAAGTATTTTGAAGATTCATCAATTATTGCTGTAAGAAAATAATGTTGTACATTAAAACATATCATGTATTTACCAGATCATTGGTTTGTGTTGTGGTATTGCACATTCAAAGAAAATTCTAAACAGTAACCTTCCATTTGCTGTTTGGCTTTTTCTGGGGGTGGTTTATCTTCAACAAGTTTTTCAAGTTTTTCTTTTACTTTTCTGTAGGCTACTTCATCTACTTTCTTAGTTGCAAGATTTGGAGCGTCTGTTAACCTGATGTTAAAACAAATCATCTTTATAATACTTAAGTTTTTGACAGTTGTAGAGCCCTCTTTAACATCTTCGCACGAATTGGCCCGGCTCGCACGGTGAAATACCACGACCACAGAGAAGATAGGCGTGAAGTAGAAGCAATTACGCATTCAGTCTGATGAGTGGGCGTCCCGTAGGCCTAATTTTAGTCCTCTATCCCTTCCCACCCTTTTTATTATAAGGAAAGGATGGGAAGTGGAAGTGGACTTTCCGGATAAGAAGATGCATTTGATAAGAAAATATTTTCTTTATGTGCATCCTTCCATCTCTCCTCCTCATTCGTCCGTCGATTAAAGGTAGGTAACGCATTTGCAATTCCGTATGCATGTCTATGGGCAACGGTCGCTTCGTTATTTCAGCGATATCACATCATAGCAGCTCGCTCGTTTACCTCCTTTTGATATAAAAAAGGTAATCTTACATTTGAAAACATAATATACTACTAACCTATGCCCTCCAGCTGCGTAAGATTCTTCATACTCCTTCTTTTTGACAAGTTGTTCTTCGCCTTTTTCTTTCATCGCAGTTGTCAAATGTTCAAAAGCAATGCCTAAAGAATATTTTTTTAATGAAATATATGATTCCAGAAAATTTTAGTAGCCTATATTATTTGGTTACCTTTTAAGGTCCCTATTTTTGCTAGTTTAGTAGCAGCCTCAGTAACGGGTGCTAAAAACAAAATAAACCAATTTAATTATTAAATCTTATGAAATATAAATAAGACAAATCATTGTGTATTTTACCATCTAGTTCTTTATTAATTATCGGTGTTAATTTTGGTGGCAACGATGATTGCAATTCATTAAAAATTTCTATTTCCAAATCTTTATTTTCAATTGTATCATCTGGCATTGGAGTAGCTTGCAATCTAATTAAAACAAAAGACAAATTCATTCATAAAATTTTGTTGATTCTTATTGTTATTTTACTCCAGATGGTGAAAATGAAATTTAGTTCAACTTCAATATTTCAATAAATTGATTACTCAGTAATGATCACACTCACGACTTTGCTGCACCCGCGTAAGTCTCACTGTAGCCTTTGTACTCGTATAGTGGTTTTGTTCCCATTGACTTTTCTACTGCTATCAAATAGTCCATAGGATACTTTTCACCCGCGGCGCCACCTATTGTTTAAATAAATATAAATATTATATTTTTAAGGTCCCAGTAAGATAATGTTTTCATTTGCACTTACTTTTCATAGCAATCGGTTGCGATAAAACATCTGCGACATCCCGCACAAGAACTAAAAAAATATTAAATGAGTAAGACTTCCAAAAATAATAAGAGTTCATTCCTTCTGGATGTCTAATTTTAGTCCTCTTTCCCTTCCCACCCTTTTCTTATAAGGAGAGGATGAGAAGGACGCATAGGTAGGGTAATATTCTCTTTCTGTGCTTCTCCTCCTCCATCGATTAAAAGTAGGCAAGGCATATGCAATTGCGGATTTCTATTGGCACCGGTCACTTGGCTATTTCAGCGAATTTAGTTTACCGCATGCTTGTTTCCCACTTTATAATATAGAAAAAAAAACAACCTTTCATTGGCACATGCAATTGTGCTGGAGTGACGGGTTTAACGTCAGTCGCTAGTTTTTCCTTAATTTCTGTTGCTATATCTTTTACAGGCAAATATGGCACTAGAGCTGGAGTTTTTTCTGTCCTGTGAAATTCAACATTAATGAAAAATGTTGCTTTAATAAGTAACTAAAAATAACTTAATATAAACTTACTCTTCGGCACCAGTTCCATACTCCATCGCATAGTCAGCTCTTTTTGCAAGATCCTTTGTAGGTGTCTTTTTCATTGTCTCCACCAGCAACTTTAAAGCGTGTTCTGTAAGGAATCGCGATTATACTGGCAGCTTTTTAAGCATTGCGGTTATGTGTCCTAGATTAAAATGCCATCAAATTAAAAAAAGAAACAGTAAAACAGAACTTTACTTTTAAAAAAATAAGGTTTATTTTAACTATCGGGGAATTCAAAAAAACAATGGGTAAATATTTTTATTATTAAACTTGTGACTTTTGATGGACACAATCGCGCTCATTCTTATTCAAAATTGGTAATAATTTTTTATTCTTTTAATTATAAAAGTAATCTTACCTCTGTCCCGTACATAACCAGATAAATAATTAGCGCACCTTTTGATTACCTCTGAAATATAAGACAAATTTATATTATTTTATAACTCGACATTTTAACATGCAACTTACCATCATTATCTTACACATACCATTCATTTCTTGCTTCAGAGACTTGGGTGTAACTAAGTCCACGACTTTGTGTAAAGCCTTTTCAAATAAAGGTTTCGTTGCTGGATTTGGGCTAATGCTTGACAAGCCCGGTGCTTTCGTTAACCTAATAAAAACATTTAGTTTATAAATGTTAAAGGATAGCCAGAGGGGTGCATAGATCTCGCTGAAATACGGCACAAATGTAGAACATAGCCTGAAATAAGACATAGGCTGCGAATTAAGTTTTTTAATGCCGTGCGGACGGAGTCGCGGAGCAAATAGTGATATACAATTTTAGTTATTCAAATTACAGAAAACCTTTTTATCAAAAACCATTAATGATATCGTCAAGGGAAGTAACATAAATTGTAATGTCGCTTTTTTCTTTATTTAATTATTTTTTCGCAAGCGTGGTATTTAAATATTATAAATACTAACACATGAGCAGCTGCGAAGTTTATTTCTAAATCGGGAAATTGAGGTGTGAAAGGTTTAGATCCAGTAAATGCAAGTTCCTTTATAAGTATATCGAAAGCTGGACCTCGTTCCACTAAAATAATAATAATAATACTAGCGATATTTTAATTATGATTATTAAATAATTAATCCAAACTAATACTTACATTTATCGATAACACCCTGAGATAGATATTTTGAGCAAATGTCAAGAGTTTCTGTAATGAAAAATATTATTATTATTAGTAATGTACCTATTTAGTAATAATCTTACTTCTTACTAATGCTATAAATGCTAAAGTTTGTATGTATGGATGGATTCGAAGGTATCTCTAGAACGGCAACGTGGATCTTGCTGATATTTGGCATAGATTAAGAACACATAGTACTATTTTTTTTTTAAATTCTGCGCTGAAGGATTCGCGGGCAACAGCTAGTAATAAGCCTTAATAATGTATAGATGTGATTTTACCATTCATGTCAGTTTGCATGTCGAGTGGTGTAACCTTGGCCACCACTTTTCTCAGACCCTCCTGGATTTTTCCGGTTAAAACCGGATCATCGTGGTCGCTTTCCAAACTTCGTGCTTGAGTTAACCTTTGCATTAGGATGAAATATATTATGTAACGAATTAATAAACAATTTCAGACAATCAGATTTTTTTTAGTTTCCCATATCTTTTAGATTTTAAGAACTATAAATATAAATCATTGGAATAAATGGCTGGTTTTATATCAGATTGTGTGTATTTAAAATTTTATAAATAAATTACTCTGTAGCGGCATCTTCATTTGTTTCTTTTATTCTATCCTTTTCAAATAAAAGTTGTTTCGGTTGTTTACGTAATGTGCTAATCAACAGCTTAAAGGCAGGTCCTTTGTCCTCTGAAATAAATACGTCAATATAAAATAAAAAAATCCAACCCAACAACATACTAAACAAATTACTTACTATTATTTTCAGCATTCTCAGCTAAGAAATTCGAGCACAAATCAATCATAGCTGAAATTAAAGAAATGTTGATAAATTTCATCATTATTAGCTCACTATACGTCCCCTCCGAGGGGCTCGAAGCCTATCCTAAGTTAGGGGTCACTAGGCCATAGTCAAGTGGTCAAGTGACCCCTAACTTAGGATACGCTGGCCAAGTGCGGGTTGGTTGACTTCACACATATCTTTGAATTTCTTCTCAGATATGTGCAGGTTGCATCACGATTTATGTAGGTAATTTTAAATCAGAGAGAGGTATGAAATATTCAACTACCTCCCATAGGGACCTCTAGATTCTTCGGGGCGAGAGGTTTTGCTATGCCAGAAAGTGCATTATTAATTTTATTCGCTACACCACTGTTAATTTCCAAGACATCAAATGTAGGAGTTTCTTTAAGCCTGAAAGTAATTATTACATGCAATTTAAAGACATAACAGTAATCACTGACTTCCAAACAATGGAAAAGATTGCATGTACAAGTTTTACGACAGTGAAAACTCATTGGATTAATTACGTATTTAATTTTAAAATATCTACTTACAAATTTGCCGCTTCTGTATAAGTTTGGTGAAACTTGCCATGATCTATTAAATTCTCATCTCCTTGTTTATACATCGCGTTTGTTAAAATTATAAAAACTTCAAGCATATCACCTGTGAAAAATTAATCGGTAAAATTTAGGCAATTAATTTAAAATCTATATAAAATAAGCGGACCCGACAGACGTTGTCCTGTCTAAACGTCTTTAATGTGAATAAATTAATATGAAGTTAATATTTGATGAAAATTGTGAATCTAAACCATTCCCAGATCCCCTTGAACACACACAAAAAATTTCATCAAAATCGGTCCAGTCGTTTGAGAGAAGTTCAGTGACATACACACTCACAGAAGAATTATATATATAAAGATTAGTACTTACCAGTAAATTGCTTATAAGCAGGAGCTGTAAATAAATTTTATATTAAATAATTTAAATTAACCCAAAAAACGTATAAATTTATTCACTTACTCTGCTTCAAAGGCTGATCTTGACCCTGAAAAAGTTGCGTTAGTTAAAAAAAAACAATAATTTAAAAAAGCTACATTAATCTACAACTATCCTTCATTCTCCACTTGAGTACAAATGAACACGATTGAAAAAAAGGGAAAATGAAGAATAATTTTGACTTTAAAATATTCAATAAACATTTAATAAATGCAAACATTTATTTACCTTTCAGTCGTGTTCAAACGTTTCATTATCCAAATGGAAAATAAAAAACTATATCAAGTTGAAAAGTTTTAATCGTATTTCATTGTAATTTAGCATTTCGTACATGAAATTTGAAGTACAGAAAAAGCACCACCGTTTGAAGATCTTAATACTAGATATTATGGTTAAATTTCTATAAGTTTTGACACGAAATGCTTTGTATATTTTCATGATATTGGTTGATTTTTTGTCAGAACTCACATGTTGCATCATTTCGAGAAAATCATCCGTGAAACGCGTATCGCCGGCCGCGTCTGCCGCGATCACGTCTATAATAAAAACATGCATGTTTTGCATTCAAAGATTGTTATTCTTAAAAATAAAGCAATATGGCGCCCCTAAAAGTAATACAGTTAGGGAGCGGCAGCAAATCAATGTTTCCTGACGTTCCCTAAGGCCTATCAGTCGCCAGTATCCCTTTCACCACCGGGAGATGGTCATGGTTATTCCATCAAGCAACAATTCTTTTCATAGTACGAACCTGACAAATGTCAACAAGGTCAAGTTTCGCTCAAATTAACTTAAATACGTACGTACCATTTTCCGTTTTTTTTATTTCATAATTTGTGGATTTTGGTTTATAAGGAAGAAGATAGTGATATTTATTTTTCAGCCGTAGATGTACTCGTTTGTGATGGCGTCACTCCAGATTTAGTTTCAGACTTATCTCTGTCTTCATTAACTTCGGGCTTTTCATCATCAGCATAGCTCCTTTGCACTTCTTCTCGAACAAAAGAATACTTACACTTACACTGATGTATGTTGTTTCAAATTTCATGGTGAGTTCTCATTTATATTTCTCATCATCGTGAACAACAAAGCTTAAAATAGCTTCCTAACCTATACGCGTTTTTTGCGTAACGTTCCACATAGTAAATCGACTTACCTTCATCCTCGTCAAAGTCCATCATCAGCATGCGATCATCAGACTCCGTAAGTATTTCATCGATCCACACAGCAATCTGTTGATAACATTGTAAATATTTATTTTTCGTGTTTTCAATCATCATTAGCCTACTATACGTCCCCACCATGGGGCTCGGAACCTACCCTAAGTTAAAGGTGATTAGGCCATGGTCAACTACACTGGCCAAGTGCGGGTTTGTTGACTTCACACGTATCTTAGAATGTCTTCTCAGACATGTGCAGGTTGCATCACGATGTTTTCCTTCGCCGTAAGAACGTCGGATAAATGTACATATATAAATCGGAAATCGAAAAACACATTGGTACATGGCGCAATTCGAACCCAGGACCTGCAGATTGCAAGTCAAGTGCTTGACCCCTAAGCCACCGACGCTCTCGTGTTTTCAAATTATTTTAAAAAATAACCTAGTGTGCTGCTTTTGGCCACAGGGGTAAAGAACTTTGTTAAGCATATGAAAGAGGTTTTGTACCTTGTCAGACATCTCCATCATGAACCTTGCTTTTGGACTCGTACTGTTTCGTGACGGAGTCTTCATTCGCATATAACCGCATATATCATTTAAGATCAAATTCGACAGGCACAGCATTCTGCATGGAAAACAAAGTTACTTAAATTGTTTAGAACATTCAATCATAAGAAATTTAGGTAGATTCAGGATGTTCATTTCTATCTAACCCCGCGCTGGATAACGACTTACAAGTTATAAACTTTTTAAAATAGAGAAAATTACCCATCAGCAAGAGCGTAGCGTCCAGGCCTCGCAAGACGTTGTTGAATTCCTCTCGCAAACGCAACAGTCGCGTTCCTTGCCCACAAGAATCTTTTATCATCGCATATGGCCAGCAAATCTGTTTTCCCTTGACGTCTTAGCTTCCTAAAAGAAAAGAAAATATAATCTAAGATAGTTTTTAAAAAAGAAAATTATAAATAAAATAATAGCACTCACTTATTTCGTTTCCTCTTTGTCTTTCTTAAATTAACAAAGTACTCGTAAGCTTGCTCCGGCTTAAAAGGTTCATCGGCATCCAACATAGCTCGAATACGCCCGATCTAAACATATAGAGATAACTAAGACATCCATTATCCATCAGTCTGATAAACGTACTCGGAAAAAGCGTATATAGTACCATAATTACTGCCTATTTTCCTATCGTTTAAAATAGCTTACCGCGTCTGGTGTCAATATGTCGGCATGCTCTCTCCACAGGTATATCATATGCCTCCGGCTGGGCTTGGACATGTGCTCCAGCCGGTCAGTCAGCACAGCGCCGTGGCGACGCAGGCAGCGTGCATGTGCCCTGTACTGATGCTTTGATAGCTTCACATCAGTAGCTTTTGGACCCCTTTGTAACAAAGATAATGTTGCAATGCACATGTGAGAGTCTTTTGGCCGCAGTGTACATATTGTATATGTATAAATGTACACAATTTGAACAAGTATTGTTTTTAAATTACCTTCAATTTTAAACAATTTTTAAATGTATAAACAAAATATAGCGAAAGTAGCAATTGTAACTACTACTTTTTTAGAATATGTATAATAGAATAATAACTTATATAAAAAAAAATCTTGTTCCGACACTTGATTTGGCACAAACTGCATTTTTTTAAAGATGTTTTGTTACACTTACCTTGGCTTAGCTGGTCTTGGTGGGGGCCGCGCCGGTCTTTGGGGTAAAAATTTAAACTTTCGCCGTAAATCACGGCCTGTGACAATAGTTTCAGCGACGGAAGGGGGCGCCGTCGCCGTGGAATATGGAGGGTAGGGGGGATAGTCCGAGGCTATAAAACAAACTTTTTAAATTTTCCTAAAATTTTGTAAGAATTCAAACAACAGCAATACTGTCTACTACTCTGCTATCATGTGAAACACTTGTTCTGTCTAAAAATCAGATTATGTAGGATTTAAGTTTTATACCGGTAGTGGCAATCGGAACATCAGTTTCGCCGGCCTCCGACGGCGGTGCCGTTGCTTCAGCCATTTTTTGTAACTATATGAATTCTAACAAATATGATATTGAAATACAATCGTTATAAACATTGGTGGTGCTTGAAAAATAATAAATTGTCAGTTATACGTCAGAATAACAGCTTGTAATCTTCTGTGTTAACGCTATTACAGGTTGGCCAGTTTTTCGATAGAAAAAGTATCTATTAAATGTTTACAGTATGTCCGTCCGCAACCAAGAGAATAAAAAAATAGTACCCTATATATTCTTCCGGACAATGTTCAACATTTATGTCAAATTTCATCAAGATCTGTTGAGCTGTTCTGGAGATACCTCGTAACAACCACCCACCCACCTTCTAAACGTTCGCTTTTATAATATTAGATTAAATTAGAACGGCAAGTGACATTCATTTATTTTTAGTAAGTTATCTATTATTTACATTTATTCTCAGATTTTAAAAACTGCTTACTTACTCTTCACAGTATTCCGTTATGTTAAATATCGTCAGGAAGATATAAAATAAACTGATGAATAAAAATTGCTATATAATTTGTAAATAAGTTGTTTTATTAAAATAAAATAGGAATATATTGTATATAAGTGGAAATAAATAAATAAATATTAACAACACATTAGAAACGACAGAAGTCAAAAATGAAACACAAGATATGTATTTTAATAACTTTATTTGGAAATAGATCAAATAACATATAGGTACATAAGCCAGCCATTAACATACGACTAAATAATCACCAAAGTTTGGTAATCTGAAATACACTTATATAAGAAAAATACAAGCATTTAATTATTTAAATCTACTTTCACCTTTTACACTAAGGATTTATTTGATGTAATTAATTACATACCACAATTATCACATGAAAATATTGCCAAATTGTCAAAATCAGCGGTCACTACAACAGAGATATGAGAAATAAGTTGTTCTCATACTAAAGAATATTATAAAGATGGGTTTTCATTGCCAAAAAACTTGTACAAAACGTTGCTGTTGTTGTTTTTTCATAGAATACTCGATCCAACAAGAATTTACTTCCTTACCCTGCCTACCCTTATTTCCATGGGACGTGATTGACTTTCCCCTTGTATATAACATTGTCGTTAATCAATACTTTTCTCATCATGACTATTTCCAGCATTCTTTACTTTGTATTATCAAATGTTGTTCATAAGCTTTTTCATACTTCTCAAAAAATGGCATTTTCTTTTTGTTAGACCCGCTAACAAAGTATATCAAATCCTCACATTTCCACAATCCACCCTACAATATTCTACAGCTATAGACGTACATTTTTCTTTTCTTCAGATAAATTCCTTAGAAACAAAAAAAAAAACATTCTCGGTATTGAGATTGTATAATCCTTATAAGATCCACAGCCATATTGCCTAGCTTTGCCAAACCCAAAATAAAATATTTATACACTGTTGTATCATTCCTGGGACATGGCACAGCTTATTTATTTGATTAAAATTAAACAGTAATTTTAGTTAACATTAAATCAATAATCATTTCGTTAAAACTATATTTTTTAATCACATATTAATTGCAAATTGTATTAAATAGTTGAAACTTACATCTAAACATAGATATATTTTAAATATAGTATGAATTTTACATATTCAAAAATCACATGTTGTTATACATGTGTAGCAACAGTAGAAACTCCTTGCTCGACCTCTTTACTCATAATCAGAGTCATCTTGTTCATTTTCCTCGTTCTCCGACTCTGAACCAGTATCGCATTCCAATCCATACGTATAAAATTTATTTGAACGTCTCTCACTTCCATCGGGTATCACCAAAATCTGATAGTGTGTTTTGGCTATTTCTTTATCCATATATGGTATGTAACAGACTCTGTGAGACGGTTGTACCTTGCCAGGTATAATGTGCCCTTCATGCCTTGCCCTACCTATGTAAAGCCTCTCAGGGACCTCATCTTCAGAATAGCCTCCAGGCACAGCATTTACTGGCACTTTGTCACTGTAACTACTGATCCATATCAAATTGTAGCCGCACAATATCTGCAAAATAAGGACCAAAATAAGACATTTTAGAACAAATTTGATTCTTATGATAAAAATTTCAAATTCAAATGAAAGCCTAAATGGCAAGTTGGAGATTCCATGCATTTTTCTTTCGATTTTACTTTATCTATATTTTATTTCATGTAGTGATAGTTCAATTTGAGAAATACTATGACCTCTGACATTCTCAGATTCACGAAACAACATTTACCTGAAAGTCATCTTTCGCTTGTGCAGCTCCGCCCCATGGCACATAACAAACGTTGTCGGACCGGACATACTTGCCCGGAACCATTGAACCATTGTGGTACGCTTTGGCTACATACACAGGTTCATCTTCAAATCCACCAATATATGCCCCAAATGGTATATAATCTTTAGGATCATACCAGAATGGCTTGGGAGCTTCTAATGGCTTCAATTTGTGACTCCGAATAATTGGAGGTACTGAAAATTAATAATAAAGGTTTATAACAGTATTGTATGAATTGGCCAACTTAATAGGTGAAATTCCATGATCACACAGTAGACCCACCATGGAGTATAAGGGAGAAATATCCTACAAATGTATTTTACCATTCTCTGTGGATTAGAGGTATGTATGGGCAGTGGTCAATCCCTATTTTTTAGTTAGTACTAAATGACTGCAGCAGGCTTGTTTGTAAGATGGTTTGCCAAATATAAAGCAATTAATGTGGGTTGCTGATATGGGCTAATTTAAATAGAACAGCATGAAATTACATTGTAATAACTTCAATACATACATTCAACTTTCCAATGCACAGGTGTGCGTTCCCTTCTCGACTTCACATCAAGAGTAATGTACCGCAAACCGGGCACCTTGTTAGGGCATGTTATCAATGGATTAGGGTCATCACCCTGGCCCAGTCTTATGAAGTTTCCATACCATGTAATCCAAAACTTAGTATAATTCTCCGCACTAAGAACCCCAGGTGTACGAACCTTCACACGGTGCTCATTGCCCTTTTTTATAAAACTGTGATCATTGCTTAGCACAATCTGAAAATGAAATTATAGAATTTTAGTTAAGTAGAAATTTGACAAAAAGAAATACCAAAGTTTAATGTTTTTTTACATACCCAATAATCACAGCTGCGGATTACTTTCCTCGACAAACCTATGACAATATTTCGGGCTGCTCTCACTGAGAAAGCTACAGCTCCACTTGTTATTTCATAAAATGTACTTTCATGACTCGGCCATGTGGTCAACTCTGCAATGAGTAATAGGAAATGATATTGAGAAATTTATTCAGCTTAAAGATATCTTACTTATATTATAAATGCGAATGTTTAGATGGATTGATTTTTTTGAAGGTATCTTTGGAACGACTGAATGGATGTCGCTAAAATTTGGCATAGATGAAGAATATAGTCAGGAAGAACACATAGGCCACTTATTACGGTTTTTTTAATTCCGCGCAGACATAGCCGCGGGCGACAGCAAGTGAATTAATAATATTGCTATTGCAAGTATTGCAGATTTATGATTTGTCTTATTGATTTATAGCTGTAGAACAAAACCTACAATTGGGAAATTGATTACAACATGTTGTGTAATTACTAATTATTAAAATATATTTAATATTATTAAAAATAATAGTAAGTTCATGACCGTGGAAAACCTATAATGGAAGGGGTTGGTCTGGATTTCAAGGAATAATAGTAATTTTATTTTAGTTCGAATTGGAAATTCCTAATTTAATACAATATATGTATGTATATAAAGTTGGAAAAGTGAACTCACCCAATGGATCGCCCATCTTATTAGTGTCTTTTAAATTGTAGAAAATTCAAATAAAATACACTTGGTCTTTTCCTGGTTGTAATTTAGATAATTTGCTGATCTCGTTCGTCAAAATGACTGTTAACAACACAATTTATAATGTCTACTTCGCTTGAGAAATTAGCAAGGCAACGCAATAAAACTTTGTCGCCTCTGATAATAAATCAATAAAGAATCAAGATCAACCTCGTATCGATTTCTGTTTGGGGATGGAAAAGCGTTGCTGTCGCGTACGCGAAACATAATGTTGCCTAGCATCACTCCTTAAATATAACGAATTCCTACCAAAGGCTGATCTTATCTACAAAAAAATTATTCGGCATAAGCAGTACAGGTATATCGACGACACGGTGGACATGAATTTACGTAATGTCAGCGATTTTTTCGCGCCAACAAATAAAAATATGTAATTTGTGTATTATGTGATTAAAGTAGGTTTGCTTTGGAATCACTTTCTATGCGATTTGTTCTGTTCCCCTTTGTTAAAAATCTTGAAACACATTTACACCTCTCTTTTGTAAGTACAAATATATCCAAGCGCGCCAATATTCAATGATTTTAGGTAATTTTCGATACAGAAATTACCAATCTTTTAACAGATTTCATAGTAGCAACATTCAACTTGTATATTTTTGTTTTGTTATTTTATTGTTCATTTCATTTTTGTCATTTTTAATACATCTGTTGTGTGTCACTTTTCCAAAAAAAAATTACTAAATAAAATATAATTTATCAATTAAAAATTATAATATTAGAAAATAATAATTCATCAGGTTTTACAACACTAGATAAATTTTGGTATATACGAAAAATAAAACACCGATTGCAAATATATGGTGCAATTTGCGAAATGTGTGATACCACTTGTTTACAATGTTTGAATTAATAGGTAAGTCAAAGTAGTGCTATATAAATAATAAGTACATAATAATGCTTATAATTAATAGACAGATTGATTATTTATAAGATGGCAGAAAAAGCTTTTACGCTTAAAATAAATGTGTTTTTTTTAATAATTAAAGATATATTATTTTAAACATACTTAATATGAGAAATGTTTACAATAGCATTACTTTAATTCATAAATATTAATTTAACGGTTTAATTGTTAATTTTATCTATTTCCCTTAGATATTAAACATTATCCTACTTTGATTTTTAATATTTTTAGGAACACCATACAAGGTATGCAAAGTAGATAACTGTGGAATAAGAGTGAAAATAAAAGTTAATGGTTTTGCACGTCCACAAGCAGTTTTTCATCTACTTGCTAAAAAGTGTCCACATGTCGAAGTTTACAAGGTATTATATTTATATGGATCTTTTTTTATATCACTGGTAATACTAGTTTTAGAAAACTTACCATATAATTTTGTTTTAGATTTCTTTAGGGAGATTAATAGAAATAAAAAGTCCTGAACATGAGGCTATAGTTCAAGATTTTGATGGAGTAGATTGGTCAATTGTCAATGAATTCTTTATATCATGGTATGGCAGCATTATACGTATTGGCCTCGTTGGTAATCAAAATGTTCTTGAATTCAGTCAAGAAAGAAATATCTTGAAAGTCATTGGTTTTATCAAGTTTATGACAATAGCTGAAGATTCTTCATCTCAAATTTGTTTGAGTGATTGGATATTTGAAAGTAATTTCAATTTACTTGATTATAAGTAGTAATTATCTCTCTCTCTCTCAACAATAATACATTTAATTTACATTTTTTTCTATATCATAAGGTGGCAAATGAGCGAGCGGCCACCTGAAATTGCTGATATAGCGAAGTGACCGTTGCCCATTGACATACGCAATTGCATATGCATTGCCTACCTTTAATCGACGGAGGAGATGATGCACAGAAAGAAAGTATCTTCTCTTTCCATGCATCCTCTCATCCGGAAAGTCCACTTCCACTTCGCATCCTTTCCTTATAAGAAAAAGGGTGGGAAGTGAAAGAGGACTAAATTAGGCCTCCGAGACGCACACTCATCAGACGAAACGCGTTTGCTTCTACTTCACGCCTGTCTTTTGTGTGGTCGTGGTATTTCACCGGGCGAGCCGGGCCAATTCGTGCGAAGATGTTAAAGCGGGCTCTACCACTGTTATGCAGCAACTACATGCTTCAGATATGAAGAAATAACCAAGTAATAAATGATAAAAATATACCAGTAATAAATTAAGTAAATAAATACACAAATTGTAAAAAAAATGCCATACTCCTCTGAAACATCTTGACAGATTTTTATTGAATTTTATATTCATATTCAGTATTCCTAAAAATATCTAATAATTACTATCAATTTATATAATTCCGCGTGGACGGAGTCGAGGGCGACAGCTAGTATATTATAAATCTATTTTAAGGTCCACCAGAGATACCTTATTTAACAAGAAGTGTCAAGATAAAAAACAGTAAACTGTATTGGAAGTCATTAGATGGTGATAAACTTCCTGCCAATGCTATAATAGGTGGTTTTCAAAATGAACCAATATACATAGCTAGGGCAAAACACAGAGGATCCCTTTGTCCTGGGAAATATATACATTCACAACGTTGCGCCTATGTTCCATGGGGCTATAGTGAACATCGAAAGGATAAATTTCAGGTAATTATTGGCTAAATGCTATTATATTGTTTTAATTTCTTCTCAATTGTTTCAGTCATCAAAGACTGGTCACGGTCATCAAGTAGGTGCCATGATCTGTTTCACTAGGCACCTTCACTCTTCCCAGGCTGCTGTAAATTTCGCACATACATGCAAGAGGATGTCTACCTTATTTTTATTTAGTAATGCATAAAACTTTAATTTGACTAATATTCAGTGCCTTATACCTTTTTTTCTGTGATAAGGAGACATATAAGCAGGATTTTGCTTTATGTTAAGTGGTTTTTGATTTAAACAGATGAAGATTTCCGGTCTTCCTTTTTGAAGGAACCTTTTTTTCAGACAAACAACAGATGCAAGAATTTCTTTGTTATGAATCATAATGTGAACATTTTATTGTTCCAGATTCTATGTGGTTTAAACATCAGATGGGTTAATTGTGAAGGAAAAAATATACCTGAGAATGCATTTATTGGAGGCTATTCCGAAGTAAATAATGAACCATTGTATATAGGTCGTGCTCAGTACGGCAGTGATCTTATATGTGGTAAAGTACATGTGTTATATGGTACTTGTTATATACCACACAATGGCTGTGAAGTTGAATATCAGTCATACGAAATATTAGTGATACCAGATATTCCTCAACGAAGTATACAAGAATCGCAACAATGTTGTGTTGACTGCTAATTTTAATAAGCTTATATAAAATATTTATTTATATTAATTAATAAATTAAGATTTTTAATATTTTGTTTAATTTTTAACTCCATAATTACTCCATTTGTAATAAATATTATAGAATATTTATCAATATACTGCAACTATTTATTTTAGTACTTAATTGATACAGGAAATAAATACATTTTTACTTTTTAATTTATAAATAATTTATTTTAATATAACAGATACAATTGCTAGATCAAAAATAGTTATTATGCAGTGCAGCAAAATTATATAATTATATAGGCACAGTGTGAATAATCAACTATGTTCGTCCAAGCAGTTTCACTGCATACAAAGCTTAATTTCTACGTGATTTTTGTGAATATCACCAATTTTTTGGTTTCACTTGTCATGTTTAAGCCATGAGTACTTCGTAGTCAGGGAACCCTAGTTCCTGTCCACCGAAGGGGATGTAGCAGACGCCGTGCGAAGGTTGCACTTTCCCCGTAGTGGTGCTGCCCTCGTGACGTACACGGCCAATGAATAGAGGCTCCCCGTCTTCTGACTCGCCGCCAGGGAACGCACCCGGAGGAATGTTGGACCCACTCACAGGCACCCAGTTGTTAGAACCACCCACAAGGAGCTGAAATTAAATTTATATCTATAGTAAATGTGGTTTTTTTTTTAAAACGGCTCTGGCATATAAGTTACACTACCCATTCATGTAGTTTTAATATCACTGAGATAAATTGGTTTTTACGACTCGATATAATTTACCACTTGACATTGGAATGTCGTTATAGTGGTCTCATGAGTGTTGATTGGATGTTCCCTACCTGATATTCTCCTTTGCCGTGTTCCTGACCGCCCCAGGGTACGTAGGCGCAGCCGTGAGATGTGACCAGTTTGCCGGGCAGCATGGCGCCCTCGTGCTGGGCGCGCGCCACGTACAGCGGCTCGCCGGAGCAGTCCTGTCCGCCGACTACGGCGCCCGGCACCACCTGCCCACTGCTCGCGTCCATCCACACAGCCGACCCGCCAGAGGGCGCCACTGCTGGCGCTCCGCCCGGGTAGCCCGCAGGCGGACTGTACAGGGCCGCCGCGGTAGGCGCCGATGGCGTTACTGTATAATAAAGGTCGTATTACAAAAAAATGTTGGTATGTACTTTGTATTATTTTAATTAATTAAAAGCAAAGAAAAACGTAAAAATAAAAATTAGAATCAGAGGATAAACATAATAAGGATTTTTCAAACTAAATATATATTACATATATATGCATGCACCTTTTTTATGGCCGTAGAGTTAACTTAAAAGACATCGTAGTTAATTATCATATGCATATGCTTCTATAGATATGTACACGTGCTTATATGCATGCAATGTTAACAAAATCATTAAAACTAATTATAAAGAAACAGAAAAGAAAGAAGCTAATTTACTCAAAATGTACCCAACATACCACGAAAACCATTCAACATCTGGATGCATTTGCCGAGGAGTGGTTACACACAAACGAAAATACAGAATCTACACATTAATCGTGTAATATACTAATTGTTAGATGCATACTTAAATTATATGCGAATATATTCAATGACATAAAAATTAACAGCAATTAACATCAGAAGCAAAAATCTCTAAATATTGATTCGACACTCAACGAGTCGCTCCACCGCTGTAGAAATGCCTGATGCGCCAGCTGCCGCGCGCGCCGTAACCTGACCGCACCCCGAAATGAGTCACCGGGAAGGGAGTCGGGTCCACCCACTCCATTATCACTGCCCCATTAGACCCGTCGCGAACAATCAACCTGCCGCATCTCCATTCGATCAGGAATTTCCTAAACTCGTTGGGATTCATGAGACCGGGAGTCGGAACTGTCACCTACGGACCGTTACAATGCCTTATATTCTGTGATCGTTTTAAAATTAATATTTCATTACGACACTTAATCTTGTACGCTACCTTGTCAGGCTTCTGTCTGCAATGTCTGATCACGGACTGGGTGTTCTCCCAGCCGCCGAGGATAAACTCGTACATGGGATCCATCTCACCGGGTGCCGGCGTCAGACATACGTGGCAGTTATGGGGACCGCGGTACTCAAATTCCAGGGAGCCGGCCGCTACGGGTCCGAATTTATATTCTAACTTGTCCGGAGTGTTGAATTCTTCCGCCTCTGCATCGATAATCTGGTATTTAGTTATCGGTGTTGGGTACACTTTGATACTGATCGCGTTATGGTTACTTACCTTCAATTTTCCACGTGCCGGTTGCGCCCCAGCCGGTGCAGACGCCTACGAAGCCGACGGGGAATGGCTCCGGGTCGGCCCAGGAGATGAAAGGTATGCTCTCTCCCTCGCGGCCGGCGGACACTACGCCGCCGTCCCACCGCACCCAGAAGCCGCGGAACTCACCGCCGTTCACAATACCGGGTGTTTCAATTTCCACCTTGTCTGGCTTAGCTTTGTTCTTTCTGATCACACTTTTAGTGTTTCCCCAGCCGCCGATCATAATCTAGAAGTTAAATAAAATGTTAATTTTTAATTTATGTGAATAGTCTACTTTCTTTTAACTAACGCAATCTAACTAGATGATTCATTACGTTATCCTATATAAAATGTATAATTGTTAAAATGGTCCAACTTAACAAGCATAATTTCAGATAGTATGGTGCATTTAATAACCTCGTATATCGGCTCAGAGTCTTGGGGCCCCATGGTGAGAGCGATGTGGGCATCATTGGGAGTTCGCACTTTGAACTGGACAACTCCGCTCGACACCGGGAAGAACTGGTACTGGAGGTTGTCCGGAGTAGACACATCTGTAAAAATATCGTGGCACGTTATTATAGAAAGCTTAAAACAACTAAATACTATCTAAGCTTCTTATTGATTATTTGAACTATAAATTCTCAGCAGGCTCAGGCAATTCTAAATATAGTCGTGCGGTTGTTTGCGGGTAAGTGGTCGCAATCCACTCCCACAGCTTTGGTATAGTTAGTTTAATATTCCTGCAGCACCACAAAGTTCAATGCACCTAACTGTAATGATAAAGAGAATGCGCGGAACATTATGCCATCCAAAAGTAATGAAAACTCCAATTCATATAAGGAAAAACATACAGACGAATTGATAACCTCCTTCTTTTTAAATTTGGATAATGAAAAAACGTATGTTCAAAATGATAGCTATAAAATTATAATTATTAGAATAATAATGTTTTCATTTGTTGTCACTACTGGAATTGACTGAAGACGGCTAGGAAACGTAATTTTTTATAAATTCTAGTTCATCTAGTATATCTCTGGAAAACATGTTTTAGTTATGTTTGTATTTAAATGTTGTTTTCCGACCGTAGGTATTTATCTTTATGTTTATTTGAGAGTGGTATAGTATGATGTCATTCGATCGAATCAATGTTGCCCGACCTTCGGGCGCCTGTTGTTGCGACGAGAAATTGGGGCAAAACTTGCGCACTAACATTGATCGATACGATTCTTACTGAAGAACTGAATTATATAACCAGCTGTTTTACTGAGGGACATATTTATCTTGTTCTCCGGTATGTAGGGAAATTTTAACTATAGAAAATGGTTTTATTTTTGGAACTAATCGTATCAGGAATGTTACATGTGTTTGTTTTATAATTATTTCTCATAAAATTTATCTTTTATTGCTCTTGGTGTGCCTACATTTTTACACTGTACTCTGCATGAGCTAATTTATGAATAATTTGGTACCTATTTGGTATTCGCAAACAATAAGTAACTTAGCTTAGCTTCAAATATAATTGCTATTGTTAATAGTTTCAATATTGTACCTAGAAATAAAATTGTCCTTTTCTACTTTCTCGCTAAATTTATAGCAAAATTCACTGTAGTAAATTACAGCTAAGTATATATAAACAAGATGTATCTTGCAACCATGATTTGATCAGTTACGTGATAATAAAAAAAATCTGTAAGAATGTACTTACATTATTTATCTTAGCACGTTGTAAATATCATGAAATACGACTAGAATGAGTCACAACTCTCACGCCGACAATTTATTTTATTGTACAACACGTAATAACTATCACAATACGTGATTACTAAGTGACTAAACCTTCTACATACTTATAAGTTTGAGGGCCAACTTTCGAAACCAACAGTTTCAAATTAAATTTTCAAATACATTTGCGACATCTTTTCACTTTATTCAGAACACAGGGCACAATGTAAAGAGTAAGTGAAGTAAAAAAAATACTGTCATAATTCGTCAGGCGTCAGCATAACACCAACTCGAGGCAATAGATTATGCAAAGGTCGTTAATAAAAGTAGTATAAGATACTCCTAGTTCTCACATTTTCATGGAAAGCGGCGATTGCATAAAAATATATTCTAAGAACACCTAACTTAAAACGATTTCAAGGTCAAAACTGAAATAACGAGTCAGATATTCAAGAGCAATTATTATGACGATAAGTGCCGTAGAATTCGTTCGAAACTAGAATTCAGAATAGAATTCTATTTCAGGTTCTCTTCAATAAATGACCTTTATTATATCAAGGACTTGCATGCAAAAGTATAATTCATTGAATTTTTATTTCTCAACGGGTGGGCTGTGTCCAATTAATTTTACAACAAACGTCATTACTTAGGAAGCTCTTTGATTTGCTATAGACATATAGTCATCTATAGTTGGATTAGTTTTAGTCAGCAATGTCACAAGCGTATTGTATAGTCCCGCCGTTTTACATAAACTTAGTGTTCTACAAAATACTGTTGTATTTTATATTGCCGGGTCGTTTTATATACTATAAAAATATGTTTTAAAATACAAAGTAGTCATCCATAAGTCATAAATCTATAAACATATTTCTAGTAGGATGCAAATTCATTTTTATTTTTTAAACGTCAATAAAATTAATAAAGCAGGACTCTATGAAGAGTATCTATTGACATTCCTATCAGCACACAACACATAGTATGTAGATACCGTATACAGAAGACATTTGCGTTATAAAGTGAAACGAAGGACAACAGGTGCTTCTACAATAGCAGACGCAGGATTAAATAATCGTTAACTAAC